GTGAAGTCAGAGCTGCAGAAGAGACACACGTACACAGATCTGGGTGAGCTGCGCAACTATCTTGGCTTGCAGATCACCCGGGATTGAGCACGGCGCACCATCACCCTGACTCAGTCACACATGGTGCACCAGGTCCTTCAGCGCTTTGGCTTCACTTGGTCCTCGCCACAGTCCACTCCTCTTCCTACCGGTCACTCGCTCTCAGCTCCACCTTCGGACGAGTCCATAGAGCCGAGTGGCCCGTATCCAGAGCTTGTGGGCTGCCTCATGTACCTGATGACCTGCACTCGACCTGACCTTGCTTACCCTCTTAGCATCCTGGTACGCTATGTTGCGCCCGGGAGACACCAACCAGAGCACTGGGAGGCCGTTAAGAGGGTGTTGCGCTACTTGTGCAGTACATCGGGCATGGGGCTCGTGCTTGGAGGACGGGGTCGAGTTGTCCTCACTGGACACGCAGAAGCTTCTTGGGTTGGTGACTTGGCTACGCAGCGGTCGTCACAGGGTTACACCTTCAGCCTTGGATCCGACTCTGTTTCTTGGCGATCTACCCGCTCGTCTTCTGTTCTCAGTTCCAGTTGTAAGGCTGAGATCTACGCAGGAGCCATGGCTGCACAGGAGTTACGCTGGCTCACCTACCTGCTGACCGACTTGGGAGAGCGGCCTCGTTCTCCTCCAGTTCTGTACGTCGACAACAAGCCATGATTGCCTTGTGTCAGGAGTAAAGACTGGAGCACAAACGAAGCACATCGCTCTGCGTTACTTCCTTGCTCGAGAGTTGCAGCAGCGTGGTCAGCTTCGTCTTGTTTACGTGGCCACACGGGCCAACACTGCTGATATATTCACCAAGGCACTTCAGCTTGGTGATCATCAGCGTTTTTGTATGGCTTTAGGCCTTGTGCCTGCTTTGTCTCACTTGCTGACTGCGTGACTTTGCTTGTACTGTGATATATGTATGTATATATATATATTGGCATGCTTACACTTGCTAGGTTATGATCATTGTCTTGTTTGTTCTCTTTTATATAACTATGCATGTGAACTGGCCTTGTGGCCATTTGATTATGCTCGGAATGTGTGGTGACTTAGTGATCCACCCTGAGCTTGCTTTGCTTTTCTTGGCTGTTCCTGTGACCACTTGTTCTCCCCCACTTTGCCTATGGGGGTGTGTCAAAAAAAATATAATGCTTATGTTGTGCAGGCTGTAGTGGGGTAACCCATGAGGGGTACAACCCAATTAGGGTTAGTACTTGTACTCGCTTTCTTCTCAATGCAATCATTCTCGTTAAGTATTCTGACACTTTGGAGGCGGGATGAGCGCACGCCTGTCCTCGTTCATCACAAAGCATGGCCCTGAAGGTGGTTGCCCCAGCGTGACGGTGGAGGGAGTGGACTCAGATGGCCGGCCAGCAAAACAAGTGTTCACCCTTCACGAGAACCCCAGTGAGGACTTCCCAACCGTGAGAAGCCACGAAGCCTGCGTCAGCCTCTACATCGCTTTCGCCAAGACCCTTTGTCAGAATGTGTAGTTTGTCTAGCCTGTAGTGGGGTACACTATAATGAGTACGGCACCTTAGGGTTTCCTATTTGTATCCACCTGCTTGCTAGTGCAACCCCTCTTTTGCCTATTCCCTCTTGCCTAGCTAGCTAAACCCTAGCTATGGCTCCTTCATTCTAGCTGTAATTCTGACATGGTATTAGAGCCTTTGCGCTCCTGGCCTGTGGGCCCACATGCTTCCGCTGCTGCTGTACTGTTTGTCGCGTGCCCCGTGGCGCGCGACGTTTTTTCATCCCGCCACGCGCTCTGGGCCCATGGCAGTTTTCTGCCCGCCACGCGATCGGGGCGCGTGGCGGTTTCCTGCCCCGTCGCGGCGCCCCAGGGGACCCGCGCGTCGCCCCCCCGTCGCCCGTCGTGGCGCACCCAGGGACCCGCGCGCCCCCCCCGTCATTCGTCGCGACGCCCCCGGGGACCCGCGCGTCACCCCTCGTTGTCCGTCGTGGCGCCCCCGGGGACCCGCGGGCTCCCCTCGTCGTTCGTCGCAGCGCTTTCGGGGACCCGCGCGCTCCCCCCTGTTGTCCGTCGTGGCGCCCCCGGGACCCGCGCGCGGCCCCCCCGACGTCCGTCGTGGCACCCTCAGGGACCCGCCCGCGGCCCCCCCGTCGCCCGTCGTGGCGCCCCCGTCGACCCGCACGCCGCCCCTGGGGACCCGCGCGCCCGTCCCCGTCGACCCGCGCGCCCCTCCCGTGGACCCGCGCGCCGCCCCCAGGGACCTCCGCGGCCGCCCCCGTCGACCCGCGCGCAGCTCCTTGCACCCGCACGCAACTCCTTGCACCCGCGCGCAGCCTCCCCCCCCTCCCCCCCCCCCCCCCCCCCCCCCCCCCCTTCTTCTTCGCCTCCCTGCTGCGCGTGCAGCCGTGGGGTGGAGGGTATGGGGGTGGCGGGTGTGTGAGCAGTCACCTGATCCTCCTCCTCCTCCGTCTCCCACTGCTGCAGCTGCCGCTGAGGGGGGTGGGTGTGTGGGAGCCGAGGGAGTGGTTCTAGGGGGGTGACGTGGGAGTGGAGCTAGGGGTGCAGCAAGGGGTGTGTGAAAGGGGGGTGGGACAGTTGGGGGAGGTTGAGCGGAGGTTGAGCCGTCGTGTCGCCAGCAGCGCCAGTAGTCTAGAGGCTACAATCTCCGGTAGTCGCCAGTCGCCCGTGGGTCAGTTGCTCCAGCCGCTCGGCGTAGCCGCGGAGTCAGTTACTCCTGTAGTCCGGGCCTTTGCTTCGGTAGCCACTGAGCCAGCCGCTACCGTGTGTCTGCAGCTTCCGTCATCGCCTCCTATCTTCTCTCCTCACACAGTTCCTCCTCCTCCTCACTTGCCCTCTGTGATAGCCTCTAGCTTTGCTTATATTTGTGAACTATGAACTGCTGCTTGTTGTGCTGATCATGCCCCACTTTGACTATGGGGGTGTGTCAGAATGTGTAGTTTGTCTAGCCTGCAGTGGGGTACTCTATAGTGAGTACGGCCCCTTAGGGTTTCCTATTTGCATCCACCTGCTTGCTAGTGCAACCCCTCTTTTGCCTATTCTCTCTTGCCTAGCTAGCTAAACCCTAGCTATGGCTCCTTCATTCTAGCTGTAATTCTGACACCCTTGTGCGCAACCTCAACAAACAATTCGATGATTTGAAGTCGTTGTCTCAAGTGAGACTCTTCACTCTAGATGAGTGGCCGCAAGGGAGGGTGGAGCGCAACAACCAGTGCCTCGAGTGGCTCATGTCACTGGTCACCCTGTTCAGAGCACAGGAGACGGACTGCATCCTACCAGGCATGCTCGTTGCCGTATGTGTTTTTGCATATCTGCCTTTCTTGATGTATTCAATATCATATACAGACGGTGCTGTGAAGCGCTCTAATGCATATATTCACATCCTTCTGACTTGTCTGACAGGGACCGACAAGAGTCGGGCGATCAAGGACGCGTGAGATCTATTAGAGTCTCCATATGTACCAATTTTACTCAGAAGCGCGACACCACCAGCGTACTCTGAAATATAATTGTTGAAGAAACAAATACCTTCTGTCATAAGCCTTACTAACTATTTTGTTTGTTTGTTTGTGTGGTCTATTTTTGCAACATAATATATATATATCAAGCATACATGGAGTACAGGGCCTGAATACAGTACTTACATAGCACCCTTTGCACAAATGAAGCTAACCAAAAAGTATCACACGTCTTCATATGTGAAACCCCATTCGCCTCCCATGAATTGTTAAAATGGTAGGCATAGCTAGGACTAGAAGCTTAGGGTTTAACCTAGGCATGAGAGAGAAGTCCAAGAAAGAAGAATTTGAACTATAGAATCACAAGTACAAATAGAGGAGAAGCATGCAAGGAGTGGTGCAGCACCACACACGACAACTATGGGACTACACTACAGCTAGATCTACATGCACTTACAAAATATATATAAAATATATTCAGACACACCCCCTAAGTGCATGCAGGAATAGCCATGTGCATAACACCCCCTGAAGTGGTACACCCTGCAGGGCGCAGCAGAAGAAGAGGCGAAGTGAGGAGGAGGAGGAGGAACTGTGAGAGGAGAGGAGATTGGAGGCGGCGGCTGAAGCTGCTGGCACATGGGCAACGGGAGCAACTGGCACACTGGCTACCGGAGCAAGAGCATCCGGACTGCTGGAGTAATTGGCTCCGCGACTAAGACGAGCGGTTGGAGCAACTGACCCACGGGCGACTGGAGCGACGGGCTCACGTGCTACCGGAGCTAGAGGCATCCGGACTACTGGCGCTGCTGGCTTCAAGTCGGCTACCTCCGTTCAACTTCCCCCATTGCCCCACACCCCCTTCTGCAACACTAACGCCACTCCCTCAGCTCCCCCCACACTCCCTCAGCTCCCCCCACACCCTCCCCCCCTCAGCGGCAGCTGCAGCAGTTGGAGAGAGAGGAGGAGGAGGGGCAGCTTACTCACACACGCCACCCCCATACCCACCACCCCCATACCCGCCACCCCCATACCCTCCCCCACACTGCTGCACGCGCAGCAGGGAGAGGAAGGAGAAGGGGGGGCGGGGTGGCGGGGTAGGAGCTGCGCGGGCGCCAGTAGGGTGCGCTGGCGGGCAGAACCCGTCGCTCGTCCAGGGCGCGCAATGGGCAGCAACCGACGTGCGCACGGGGCGCGCGACGGGCAGGATCTGACGCGCGCCCGGGGCGCACGACGGGCAGGAAACCGTCACGCGCCCGAGGCGCGCGACGAACAGAAAACCGTCGTGCGTCCAGGGCGCGCAACGGGCACGAAATCGCCGCACGCCCGGGGCGCGCGACGAGCAGAAAATCGACGCGTGCCCGGGGCGCGCGACGGGCAGAAAACCGACGCGCACCCCGGGCGCGCGACGGGCAGCAGAGGGGCCCGTGAGCGGAAGCGTAGTAGGCACAGGATCGATGTGCTCTAATACCATGTTAAAATAGTAGGCATAGCTAGGACTAGAAGCTTGGGGTTTAACTTAGGCATGAGAGAGAAGTCAAAGAAAGAAGAATTTGAACTATAGAATCACAAGTACAAATAGAGGAGAAGCATGCAAGGGGTGGTGCACCACCACATAGGACAACTATGGGACTACACTAGAGCTAGAACTACATGCACATCTACAAAATATATATATAATATATTCTGACATGAATGCCTCGTGTAACCTTTGGACTTTGCGCAACCAAACCTGTGTGCAACCTCAACATCCGAGCCTCTCTAAGGATCAGCAGGGGCAGGCTTGCAGGCGGGAGAGGAGAGGGGACAGCAGCAGCAGCGACAGCAGCAGGAGGGCCAGCAGGGGCACGAGGGGCAGGCCAGTAGGGGAGAGGGGAGAGGATAGCAGGGGCAGCAGTAGGAGGGTCAGCAGGGGCAGCAGCAGCAGGGGTAACAGGGGCAGCAGAAAAAAGGGTCAGCAGGGGCAGGCTATTAGGGGAGAGGAGAGGGGACAACAGCGACAGCAGCAGCAGCAGCAGCAGCAGCGGGGCCAGCAGGGGCAGGAGGGGCAGGCTAGCAGGGGAGAGGAGAGAGGACAGCAGAGGCAGCAGCAGGAGGGTCAGCAGGGGCAGGAGAGGCCCGGTGAGTATGGGGAGAGGAGAGGGGACAGCAGTGGCAGCAGCAGGATAGCTAGCAGGGGAAGGTGGGGCTCCGGGCCCAGGGGGCACCGCCCTCAAGTTCGGGCTTGGTCGGGGAGAGGGGGCGAGAGGAGGTGGCAGCAAACACGACCGCAAGAGTAGAGGGGTTAGGACGGGAGGGTATGGAGGTGGGGGATAGGGTGAGTTTGATGGGGGTTTTAGGGTTGGGGAGAGGAATGTGAGGAGGAAGTTGGGTGGGGGAGAGGATAGAGGGGCAGAGACGACGAGGGAGGAGGCACAGAGGGACTGGGCGCAGCAGCAGCCAGTACAGCAGCAAAGCCAGGCCAGACGCACAAGCCGCATAGGGACACCCGCCCGCATTCCAGACCTGACTTGCCGCGATATAGAAAAAAACTTTGATGGTTTTGGTGGACGTCTCCATCGCAGATTCACAGCAAGAGGGGAACCCCGAGCTTAGACGAGTGACCCCCGTACAAATAGGTGTTGCAGTAACTAGACGAGAGGGGTTGTAGTTGCCCCCACATTTTTATGTGTGTGTAGCGGAGACGTTTGGGTTGCTCAGCGAGCCGATGAGGCAGTTCATGGGGCTTTGTGCGCGGCGGATAGCACAGCGGCGGAATGACTTGGGGGGGGGGTTGGGGGGGGGGGGACGGGACAACACGGATTTTTGAGACCAAATTCACTACACGTCTCTCCGTGGCACTGCAGCGGGCGCAGGCTCATAGTATTATACAGCACGCGGTGCGACAATTGGGAGGGTCTGACATTGGGTAGATGCCCGCATCAGTCCCACTGGGTGCATGGCAGGGCAGTTGGCATCACATTACCGACTGTTTTGAGAGCCTGGCAGATGTGCAGTACATGTACGATGCATATGTGTAGGGAGTTAGCGGCTCTACTTGAAACGCCGTGCCCCGCGTTGTGGTGCGAGTCGTGTCAAGATATTAGGCACAAGGTTAGAACAAAAAAGAGAGGTTTGACTAGCAGGCAGTTGGGATACAAATAGCAAACCCTAACTGGGTTGTACTCACTATAGAGTACCCCACTGCAGACTAGACAAATATTACATTCTGACAAGTCGCTGTTGTGCTTGGACCTTTTGTGCTTCCTTCCTTTAGTTTCTTCGTCCCTTCTTTTCCTCTTTCCACCTTTCCTTTTTCCCTTCTATTTTCCACCTCTTCTCTCCTTATCACCCTTTCTTTGTTCCACCACTACTACATTTCTTGTTTCCTACCTCTCGTTCTCTTCCTCTAATGCCCCTTATCTTCAAATCCATGATTTTGTATCAAACCTAATCCATAATAGAGCCTCTCTAGGGATCCTCACTAGCTTTGGCCTAGTTCTCATTTGTATGACGGTGAGTGTAATCACTTAAATATTGCCATTAGAGCTCATTTTCCTTTTACAACTCATAAAAGGTATCCATGTTCGCAACGATTGTCAAATGGTGGATCATGCACACCTACTCGCTTTAGGGCGCTAGAACATTCGTGCTGTCCCACACTATTGCCGTGTCTCATTATCCTAGCGGGGATGTCGACGTACACGCCGATGAGGCTGTCATCTTATCTCAAGTGTCAGCGCTGCGGGGAGGAGTAGCATCGAGTTTTGATGCCGTCGAGCCACCTCTCATGCACCGTGTAGCTCGTTTGTCTGCCCTATCTCGTGCTCCCCTCTCATGCCTCTCGTTCGAACCGTCCGAACGCCCATAGTAGCGTCATGCCATGTGACACCGCGAATGGGTCAAATGGAAAGCACCCCCCGCGGCTGGCTAAATCCGTCGCGGCGGGCCGGACGCTCGCCCGTCGATCGTGTTGACTGCGCGTGCTACGCGGCGACGAGGAGTCATTCATCGGCGCGGACGACGCTGACGCCTGCCGCTCTCGCGGCTGCTGCTTTTATCATTGCACTGAAATAGCGTTTCAGAAGGTAGACAGGTTGACTACGTTGCGCTTCTTTGTCGACGCGCTCTCCTGAGATAGCCGTTCCTCTTCCCGTGCCCGTCAGTCTGCCTTGCTCCGTGCACCTCCCGTCTGACTATACAGCCGCGGGGCAACAGTGTGGCAGCTACTATTCCGTACTTCCGTAGTGCCGCGAGAGGCACGAGCCTAACCTTCTCCAGGTCACACAAGCCTAATTGCGGGTTCAGTACTCAGGCACTCGGCACTCGGCACTCGGCACTTGACGGCGTTCAGCGTTCAGCACTCAGCACTGAGCAGCAGCAGGTGCACGAGCCACAGACGGCACTCGCCATAAGCGCGTGCGCCGCGTCTGCCTTTCAGGCTTGCATCGGCAGCCTCACCGCCTCCGTGTGCCATGTATCCCACCGTGCATCGCCCCACCGTGCCCTGACCCACCAGCTGCCACAGCAGCAGCGTCTGGCATGCGCTGCCCGCAGCAGTAGCGCGCCTCTGAGCCTCCCTGCCGCGCGGCAGTGGAACGCCGGGGTGATGCGCGGAGGGTGGAGATCGAGCAGCAGTGCACATGTGCACTGCCAGGCCAGCAGCTCTGCCGCTGCGCGGGAGTCGATGACTGCGCGGGACGATGGCTGCGCGGGAGTTGATGAGGCAGCCTCACGTGCCCCTGCCGCTGTACCACCGCCTCTTGCTGCCGACCCTCCTCCCCAAACCGTGACTTCACCCTTGGCCGCCACAGCTCCGGCTGCTATCCCTGGTGACTCTGTAGCCGCTGCTGCTCCCGCTCCCACACCTGCACCTGCAGCATCGGCCACTACTCGCGCTGCTGTACCTTCACCTAACCCTACAGGAGAGGTGGGCACGACAAGCCCGGGCAAGGAAGCAGCGGAGGGGGTGGAGCCCAAGCACGCGGAGAAGGAACGGTTCGAGTGGAGCAGGGCATGGTATGCGGTGGGGGTGGTTGCAAACATGGAAGCCAGTCGCCCGCACGCGCTCACAGTGCTGGTCCGCCCCCTCGTGCTCTGGCGCGACGCCTCCCTCTCCTGGCGCTGCTTCCTCGACCAATGCCCCCACCGCCTCGTGCCGCTCTCCGAGGTGATTCTCTCTTCCTTTGCAACAAACTAGCACGCACCGTCTCGCGACCCGCCCAGAACCATCCTGGTCTGTCAGGCCCGCAGGTCTTTCTCTCCACACCAATGCCCTCTGCCTCTCTGAAACCCCGCCTTGTGCCCAACTCCCACCGCCGCCTCGTGCCCGTGTCCTTCACTAGACCACATCGCTGCACCACATCGCTGCACCACATCATTCCGCCTCGTGTAAAACCCTGCCGTGTTGTGCCTGCCTCTCTCATTTCGTCTGCCCTTATACTTATCCCCCCCCACTCCCCTTCTCCCCCCACCAGGACCGCATAGACTCATCCGGAAGGCTGGCGTGCTCATACCACGGATGGGCGTTTGCAGGCAGTGGCGCGTGCCACCTCATCCCCCAGGTGCCGCAAGACAACCCGCCCCACCCGCCCCGCGCCCTCGCCTCCTCCCGCGCCTGCGCCACCGCCTTCCCCACCAGGGAGCTTCATGTGAGAGCGTGCTTGCCATGCCACGCGCCTGTGCGTGTTTTCACCTTTCCGCACCCTTGTGCGTGCATCTGCTGCATGCTCCGTTGACCTTTCTCTGAAACGATCCACCTGCCTCTCCGTCTTTTCGAGTCTATCTTGCCGTCCCGTCTTGCCTTTCTGCTTCCCTCCCGCATTTTCTTGGGGCACGGCGTCAAACGCTCCACACGCGCCCAGCCCACACCGGCTTCTCTCCCTCCTACGGCAAGAAATTTCGAGTCTATGAAGTCGTGTTGGCTCTCGTTTGACAGCATGCTGTATGCAGACCGCGCGCCCTGCACTGTCCACCAATCTCACCCCCTCAGTCGCTACCCCTACCTTCCTCCTTCCCCGCTCCCCCCACATCCTTCCCCATGGCAGGGCATTCTCTTTGTTTGGCCCGACAACGCCTCTGTGGAGCAGGCAGAGCGCACAGCCATCCCCGAGCCCGAGGGCGTGGAGTGGGATGCGTTTGACATGATTGTGAGGATCTAGGATCGAGCTCAGAAAAGAGAATGTGAATTGAATGATTCACCTGAGTACAACACGAGGCTATATATAGTCTCGACACAAGGCCAGTTACCCAGGTGTTACGCGAATGTTCTGAGGGTCGCGAAGCGTCCCGAACAGAACCTTCCCGAACTCAGTAGAAAGCAATTCGGTGGAAACCGAATAGGCTTGAGTTCGGTACACGTAACCTGGTTCGGTGCTATAACTATAATAACATATAAGAATGCACCTAACCTAGGAAATCAAGCATATCTATGCATGATAAATAAATCCCAAGCTAGATATAGCATAATAAAGTCTAGGCAAGCTAGCAAAGCCAGCATAAGCCGTCGTACTCTCACACGTCCCCCCCTCAAAGCTGGGTGGCGTGAGAAACACCCTGCTTGACAAGATAGTCCTTGAGAGCACGGCGTGCGTTGCCCATATCAGCTTCTGCAACCCAACTATCCTCAGTGGGGTCGTATCCCTTCCAGCATATCAGGAACTCGAGGGCCTTACCGCCGCGGTGCCGACGAGTGAGAACGCGCTCAATCTCGTATTCTGGTTCATCCTGTATGAGTACAGGTGGTGGTGGCGGTAGCTGCCGTCCCTGGAACAGTAGGTTGGGGTCCTTGTAGGGCTTCAGTAGCTGAACATGGAAAGCATTGTGAAGCTTCCACGTAGTAGGTAAGCGCAAGCGGAATGTTACTGGTGTCACCTGTGCCTCAACGAGAAAAGGACCACAGAAGCGAGGCCGGAGTTTGGATGGGAGGTGAGACAGGTTCAAGTTGCGCGTGTCAAGAAGCACCTGATCTCTGACTGCTACTGAGTGATCTCGTCGCTGTCGATCAGCATACTACTTCTGGGAGGTCTGCATCGTGGTGAGTCGTCACTGAGTCTTCTCCCATAGCTGCTGCATGGTGGTGACGAAGTCATGTGCGGCTTGGACGTGTGCCGGTGTGGTTGGCTGCTGTGGTGTGAGTGGTTCCCGTCTGTAACACAGGAAGAAAGGAGTTTTCCCTGTGGCCGCATGTGATGCGTTGTTGTAAGCGAACTCTAGGGTCCGTAACTGTGTGTCCTAGTGGCTGACATCGTTTTTGCAAGCTGTGCGCAGTAACTGTTCAACCACTTGATTGAGTCGCTCTGTCTGTCCGTCAGTCTGGGGGTGGTATGCTGAAGACATTGCAAGCTTAGTCCCCAGCAGTCCCATGAGCTCCTTCCAGAACTTACTCGTGAATTTGGGGTCTCTGTCCGAGATGAGTGTAGCGGGGATGCCGTGGATGGTGATGATGCGGTCAAAGAAGAGGCGAGCAGTTGCTTCAGCTGTTGCTGTGGCGTTGGTCGGGATGAAGTGACCCATTTTGGAGAACTTATCGATCACTACGAGGATAGAATCATGTCCCCGTGAGGTCGAAGGAAGTCCTGTGATGAAGTCGAGGCTAACGACCTGCCATGGCTGCTCCGGTACGGGTAGAGGCTGAAGTAACCCTGCTTTTTCTGCTTGCTGCTCGTCATCCGCTGGCACGTGTCGCAAGAGGTGACGAACTGCTGCACGTCTGCTGCCATCCCGGGCCAGTAATAATACTTTGCTATTCCCGCTAACGTCTTGTTGCTTCTGAAATGTCCCGCGTATGGTACGTCGTGAAACTCCTCCAATAGGATCTGCCGTAGCGGGGCGTAATTCAGTACCCAAATCTTTCCTGAACCCTTCCTTACAGCTAAGTCTTTCTCCCACTGTAACAGCTTCTTGGTCTGTGCTGTAGCGATCTCTGCGTCCACGGAGTAACCATGTTGGAATAGACCCTTGAGCAGAGGGTTCATCCCGTCGAGCTGGATGCCTGCTACATGACCGGGGCGGCTCAACGTATCTGCTTTGTTGTGTAGCCCGGGCTTGTAGACGATGTCGTAGTGGAAGTGAGTTTCCAGGAAGTCCACCCACCGCACCTGTCATCGTGAGAGCGTTGGCTGCGACTTCAGGTATTTGAGACTGCAGTGGTCAGTATAGACTGTAGTCTTGGCTCCCTCTAGGTAACACCTCCACGCCTTGAAGGCTATGACTATCGCTAAGGCTTCCTTGTCATGGATGGGGTAGTTCAGTTCTGCTCCGTGTAGCTTCTTACAGAGGTAGGCGATAGGCTGTAAACCGTTCCCGTTATCTTGCATCAGTGTTGCTCCGACTGCCTGGTCACTAGCGTCTGCTTCTAATACGTAGTCCTTGTCTGGGTCCGGTAAGATGAGTTGGCGCTGTATTCAGTGCTGTCTGTAGCTGCTCCATGGCTTGCTGATGTGGCGTATCCCATTTGTAGGGCATATCCTTTTTCAGTAGGTCGGTCAGTGGCGCTGCTATCTTAGCGTACTGTGGCACGAACCTGTTGTAATAGTTGGCGAAGCCTAGGAACTGCTGCAACTCCTTCACGTTCTCCGGTACCTTCCACTTCTTGACGGCTTTGATCTTCCGCGGGTCCACGTGTACGCCCTCGGCACTCACCATGTGCCCGAGAAACTGCACCTTCTTCAGGGCGAAGTCGCTCTTCGACAACTTCACATAGAACTTGTTTTTCCGCAGGATTTCGAACACCTTCCGTAGATGCTCCACGTGCTCCTTCATGTTCTTGGAGTAGATGAGGATATCGTCCAGGTACACTACTACGCACTCGTCCAGCAGGGGCCGCAGGATATGGTTCATTTCCGCCTGGAACGTCGCTGGTGCGTTGCAGAGTCCGAACGGCATCACCAAGTATTCGTAGGAGCCGTATCTAGTACGGAACGCCGTCTTGTGGATCGAGTTGTCCGCCATCTTGATCTGCCAGTAACCCGACCGTAGGTCCAGCTTCGAAAAGACTGTTGCACCACGCAGTTGGTCCAATAGGTCGTCTATGCGCGGTATGGGGTATTTGTTTTTAACTGTCTGTTTGTTCAGTGCGCGGTAGTCGATGCACATCCGTAGACTGCCGTCTGTTTTGGGGTGAAGAGAACGGGTGCACCGTAGGGAGAGGTGGATGGGCGGATCAGTTGTCTGTCCAGTAAATATTCGATATGTTTCTTCATGTCTGTCAGTTCGGTCGGACTCAGTCGGTATGGTGCACGTGAGACGGGTTTCGCACCTGGTTCCTCCACGATCTCGTGCTCGTGGGTGCGTGCTGGAGGTACGCCTGCAGGTAGGTCGTCGAGCATTATATCCTTGTACTGCTCCAAAACCTCCTTCACTGCTGCAGGTAGCTCCGTACTCAACTTCTCCTCCTCTTCTGCTGCCATAACCAGTGCTAAGTAACCCGTGTTACTCTCGTTCACTGTCCGTTCGAACCGTGCCAGTGTCATTTCAGGAATGCTCCCTGTATCCGTCCAGCTTCGCAGCTCCACTCGTTTCCTGTTATTGTAGATGCATGCCGTCCTGTTGATCCAGTCGATCTCGGGGTTGAACCGCTTCAGGAAATCTCGCCCCAAGATGAAGTCTAAACCCTTGATGTTCGTGATCGGCAATGTCGGCTTCCACCTCAGCGCCCCTATGTGCAGCTGCAGTGATGCTTCGCCGTGGATGGGAAGTTTCGTACCGTCCACCATCGTTGCCGTGAACTTGGTCTCCTCAGGTACCTGAATAATGGCTGAAGGCTTTTTCTTGGCCTCGAAATCTCCCCTGAATTTTTTAAAGGCTTGAAAACCTCGAGAGGGAATATTCTTACTCTCGGGGGTGTTCGGCTGGAGTTTCTCGGTCGGTGCAGAGTCTTGTTTCGTGGAGCCTCCATTTGTCTCGGCGATTTCCCCTCTTGCCGGCCGGTCGTGACGTTTTAAATTCGCGACATCGTGTCCTCCTCTTTTCGCCATCGTGGATGTCGCACTGTTGTTGTCCTGCAGCTCCGCTCGTGCCTTCTTCATTTTCCAACACGCCAAGAGTCGATGTCCTGCTGCGCCGCAAAATTCGCACTTCTCATATTTTGTCGGTCGTTTCTTCGCGTCGATCTTGTCGATATCCATCGGGTCGACGGTCGTGGGTGGTGCCGATCGCTCCGTGCCGAATGATCTGTTCGGCACGCGTCGTCGTGTTTCGGGTTGATCTCGCATCAACGCATCGAATCTCTCTGCTGCACACACCATGTCGCGGTAGTTGTTGTAGTTCGCGGCAATCACCTGTTGCCGGACTTCCATTTTTAGCCCCTCAGTATACGCTTGGATTTTTTCCCCTTCGGTCAGATCGGTAATTCGGTTGAAGAGGCCCTCCATCTGCTGCATGTACTGTGTTACACTGCCGAACTGTTTATGCCGATGAATCTGCTGCCGCGCCATGTAGCTAGAGTTGATTGGTTCGAAACGTTGAATTAAAGCTTCCCGAAACTGCGTCCATGACCCCTCGCCTCGGATCTTATTGCTGTTGTAAATCCACTCGAGCGCCGGGCCTCGTAACAGTGTCACTGCGAGCCGAATCCGCATTGCATCGTATGTCGGGGTCGTACAGCCAACGGCCTCGAAGTAAATTTCGAGGGTCGCAATGAATCGACGGACGTCGATGTCTCTCGCATTCGGATTGAACGTCTCCGGTTGCCTCGGACGTGCCGCCTCAAGATTCACTATAGCCACTGCCGCTACTGCTGGGTGAAGTGTCGGTGTCGCCGCTGCTGCATTCGCTGCTGCATTCGCTGCTGCTATGGCGGCTGCCGACTGGTTCCTGAGAAGCTCCTCTATTCGCTGGAGTGCCGCTCGCGTCTGGTCCAAGCCGGTGTGTAACTCCGTAATTTTTCGTACGGAATCATCACCATTTTCCTCCATTTGGCGATTTACAGGAAAATGTGCGACGAAAATAATTAAATTCTAGGCGCTGGTCATCTTACTGTGAGTCGAATCGACTGTAGAAATAACGAGCGCTGATTCTGTAGGTCGCGTAAATCTCCCTTAGTCGAAATTCGCGTCCGATCTCGGCCGCTGAGAAGAAATTCGATCCGACGCTCCAAATTCCAACTTTTTTGGGCGAAATTCTCAGAGCTGTTGAGATTGGAATCGATCCGACGGTCGAA